GAGGCGTTCATGAACCAGGAGATCACCAAAGCCTTCCACGTCCGGAGGACCAACCGGGTGAAGGAATGCCTGGCCAAGGGGACTTTCTCGGGTACGACTCCAGGGGCCCGGGAGCAGCCCCCCCTGTTCCCTGGGAGGGGGGTCTGAGGGGTGGATGGGGGGCTCGGAGCTCCTGGGTTTGGCCGTGCAGTGGAGGGTTAGCAGGTGTTCGCTCGCCTTTCCCAGGATTTCTGGTCACACTTTGCTTTTCTGGAACTTTTATTGCTGCTTTTTTTCCCAAGAAAGTGAGTGTAAGGGCCCTTCCCCAGGGTTTCCTGCTCCCCAGCCCGTCCAGCAGCTCCGTTTATTTACGGAAGAGCAGCAGAAGCGACTTCCTTCCCTCCCAGCTCGGATTTTTCACAGGGTCATCTGATTTATCGGGAGCGAGTGCCCTTAGTAGGATTTCCCCAGCTTTCCACTGAGCACCAGCACGAGGTGACATCCCAGGGGGATGTGAATGTCCCAGCCTCCCTCTGGCTGGATTTGTTTCTTGAACATGGATCCTGATGTGATCAAGCTGTCACTGTGAGGGGACAGATGTGTCCTGGCCCGTGGCACACCCCTGGGAGAAGCTGTGGAGAGCAGAGTAGGGGGGGCAGGAGATCCCCAGCGTCCTTCCCAGTTCTCCAAGGACTCAAACTTGGGCGAGACAAGTTTGCTTCCTTGGTTTGCCCTTTGCTTTCAAATGTGTTGTGGAATGACCTGGGAAAATCCCTCGGAATAGCCGGAGCACTGCTGAGGCCCTTCCCTGAGCTCCTCTGAGCTGGTGGGGGATGCTGGAAAAAAGAGAGAGATTTTTAAAGGGAAAATATAGGAAATGCCAGACTCTGTCCCCTTCCTGGTGCGAGATACTTTGTGGCAGGGGGTGGCTGAGCCCCAGGGGATGGAGACAGCCCCGGTAGCATCCCTGTGCTTGTCCCCAGATGTCACCTTCGTGCTGGATGACGGTGCTATCAGTGCCCACAAGCCCCTGCTCATCTCCAGCTGCGACTGGATGGCCGCGATGTTCGGTGGCCCCTTCGTGGAGAGCTCCACCAACGAGGTGAGGATGAGGAGGGGTCCCGGGGCTGTCCCGGGAGAAGGGTGGGCACGGCCATGAGGTGGCAACGCGTGTGTGTGTCCCGCAGGTGGCACTTCCTCACACCAGCAAGAGCTGCATGCGGGCGGTGCTGGAGTACCTGTACACGGGGCAGTTCAGCTCCAGCCCCGACCTCGACGACATGAAGCTCATCATCCTCGCCAACCGCCTCTGCCTGCCGCACCTGGTGGCTCTCACAGGTGAGCCCGGGGGGCTGCAGCAGGGCTGTCCCCAGGCTGGGTGGGTGTCCCCCCGCCCCGGCCTCCCCGTGACCCCCTGTGTCCCCCCACAGAGCAGTACACGGTCACCGGCTTGATGGAGGCGGCCCAGATGATGGTGGACATCGATGGGGACGTGCTCGTGTTCCTGGAGCTGGCTCAGGTAGGACAGGGAGGCACAAGGTGCTGGATGGTGACACTCAGAGGGGTCTGGCGGCTCCGGGGGGTGGGTGATGCTGCCCTGGCAGAGGGGACAAGCAGGTCTTGGGTGTCCATGGAGAAATGGGGTGAATCCCTCCTGCTGGTCCGTGCCTGGGGGGCTCTGACGTGGGGCTCCATCCCTTGCAGTTCCACTGCGCCTACCAACTCGCCGACTGGTGCCTCCATCACATCTGCACCAACTACAACAACGTCTGCCGCAAGTTCCCCCGGGACATGAAGGCCATGTCGGGAGGTGAGTGGGAGCCAGGGTGGGATGACAGGGTGGGGGGGGGGGTCCTGGTGGTCCTGGCACCGCCCTCACCCCCCTCTCCCCTCTGTCTCCCTGCAGAGAACCAGGAGTACTTCGAGAAGCACCGCTGGCCGCCGGTGTGGTACCTGAAGGAGGAGGATCACTACCAGCGGGCGAAGAAGGAGCGGGAGAAGGAAGACTACCTCCACCTCAAACGGCAGCCCAAGAGGCGGTGGCTCTTCTGGAACGCCTCCTCCTCCCCTTCTTCCTCTCCTTCATCGTCAGCAGCCACAGCCTCCTCTTCGTCCTCCTCCTCCTCCTCCTCGGCTGTGGTTTGAAAGCCCGTCCTTGCCCTGGCTCCAGCATCCCTGGGAGGAGACGGGGAGGAGGAGGAGGAAGCAGGGGGTGACCTGCCCCAGCGCCAGGCGTGCAGCGGACGCCACGGGCCGAAGCCCCAGAGGAGATGGTGGCCACAGGGGTCTGTCCCTGTGGTGGGGGGCTCAGGGCCAGCCCCTGGTGCTCCTGCAGCCCTGCTCTCCCCGCGCCACGGTGCCAGCACTGCAGGACTGGCAGAGCCCGAGCAGCAGGAGAAACTCATGTTTACAGGAGCACGAGGGCTGTGTTGTGGTTTTATTTTGGATTTGATTTTTTTTTTTTGGTACGTTTGTTTGTTTGGAACATCAGCAGCATGAGGAAGAAGAAGAAGGAGAAACGCATCCTGCTTCCACTTTGATTTGTAACCAGAAGCTGTGGGATATGGTTTGTGTGTCTGATGGCACCTGGAGCCACTGTGGGGGTCCTGCCACCCCCTTTGACTCACAGCAGGGTCAGGCACAGTGCAGGGGACCCTGGTCCCCAAATGCCTCCAGGCACTGCAGCGTATTCCCCTACCAGTGGGGTCTGTCCCTAATTCAGGGCGTGGAGGGGACCGGAGTCCTCTCCTCCCCATTCTTAACTTTTTGTTTAAAAAGAAAACTTAAAGCAAAAAAACCCAACCCGATCCCAAACCCACTCCCCCAACCTGCCACACCAGAAACCAACCCCAGGCCCTTGGCTTGGGCTTTTAGCCTGGAAGGCTCCATTGTAATAAATGGTATTTTCAAAGCCCAGCGTGGTCCCTGTGTGTTTGGGAGGGAGCGCCTGGACACAGCACGTCCTTGTGCCCTGCTTGGGGGGACACCATCACCCCCCTTCCAGCGCTCCCGGGGTGGACAGGGACAGGGAAGCACTGCAGGATCCATCCATCCATCCATCAAAACCCCTTGTACAAGGAGAGGTGGCTTTCCCGTCAGACTAACTCTGCATGTCCCACCTGTGTCCCTGCAGGTCCACAGCCCCAGGGCTCTGCAGGGCTGCCAGGCAGGCCAGGAAGGACCCAAACCTCTGCTCGCCCTCCCCAGCTGGGATGGGGAAGAGCCCATCCCTGGCAGAGGCTGCAGCCAGAGGGAGCACATAGGGATGCTCCCGGTGCGTCCCCTCCCACCCTTGCTCCTCTTCCCAGCTGGCCTCACAGAGCACCTTGGAGCCTCTCATTCCTCATGCTCGCCCTCGGCCATGGATGCAGGAGCGAGGTGGCAGCTCCAGCGAGCTCACCCTGGGTGTTCTCCCCCTCTGCAGCCCCAACGAGCAGGTAGGACCACGAGTTTCTTTCCCTTTCCTCTGCGGGCGCTCCCCGGTCCCGTGTGCCTCCCCCAGGCCAGGCCCCGAGCCCCCGTGTCCCAGCCCTCCATCCTGCACGTGCCTGGCTCTGCAGGAGCTCCCTGCCCAGGTTTGCATGCTCGGGAGGCACGAGGGGCTGCCCGGGACAGGACTTTTTGGTCCTGGTAGGGCCCCCCCAGAGCTCCTGCTTTTCGCACCCGCCCCAGCGCTACCGATAAACCCCAACTGCAGTGCGGGGGCTGGTGGGCAGCCCCAGGGGCTTTTTGGGGGCCAGCAGAGCCCCTCTTCTCACTTAAGCACTGCATGGATTTGCCACACAGCTACTGCAGCACACAGAGCCCTGGCTGGGTGGAGCCGGAGCAGCTCCGGCCCCGGGTCAGCGTCGCGTGGCCCCCCCTTGGCCCCGGGGTCCCACCCCCTGCTCGAGGGACAGATTTCACCCTCCTGTTCTTGCAGGGAGCAGAGAGCACAGGACTCATGGTGTAGGGGTTAAGGCAGAGGCCAGGTTGGCTGCTGAGGGCTTTTTCCCCCGGCAGAAGCATCGCTGGTGGGGACCGTTCCCAGTGGGATGCATGAATTCCATGGGCTGGGTCCTTGGCACCTCAGGGAGCAGCTGCTGAGCATCTGGTCCAGCTCCTTTGGTGCCCACTGAAACCCTGGCAGAGCACGGGGTGTGTGTGGGGGGGAAATAAAACCAGACAAGAAATCAGGAGGATTTTTTTTTTTTTTAAAAAAAAGTTAATTCTTCCTTCATAAAGAGAAATGTAAAAACTGGAAAATAAAGCAAACTGGCTGGGCCAGAGCTCTGTATAAAACACACACAACCATGCATACCAAAATACCAATATTTTTATATTAACTTTTAAGTTAACATATGTAAACAATTGCTAAATAAATACATAAATACACAAGTCCTGCTTGCATCCACGTGGTTTGTTCGGTTGTACTGAGTGGGGGAGAAGTGGTGGGAGCAGGAGGGGCAAGTGCTTGGCAGCAAAGGGTAGCCCTGGGCTGCTCCCACCACACTGGGGAAGGTCCTGGTGGACTGGGCTGTACTGGGGTGGCAGCTCAAGTAATCCAGTAGTTTTTCCAGCAAAGTTGTCCCTGAGCTATGCGTGAGAGGGAAAGTGTTTGAGAAGCAACCCCTGCAGCTGGGGGAGGGATGGCAGGTGCTTGTGGTCACTCTCAGACCTTCAGTGCATTCACCTTTCAACGCTGGCTGGAGACACAGGGACTGCAAAGCCACCCCACAGCCGAGGGAACGGAACTAAACTGTCATCAGCAGGTCCAGGGAGGTGATTTTCCCCCTCTACTCAGCTCTGGTGAGACCCCACCTGCAGCTCTGGGGCCTCCAACATCGGAAGGACGTGGAGCTGCTGGAGTGAGTCCAGAGGAGGCCACGGAGATGCTCCGAGGGCTGGAGCCCCTCTGCTCTGGAGCCAGGCTGGGAGAGCTGGGGGGGTTCACCTGGAGAAGAGAAGGATCCAGGGAGACCTGAGAGCCCCTTCCAGGGCCTGAAGGGGCTCCAGGAGAGCTGGAGAGGGACTTTGGACAAGAGCCTGGAGTGACAGGACATGAGAATGGCTTCAAACTGAAGGAGGGTCAAATTAGATTGGATATTAGGAAGAACCTTTTTCAAATGAGGACGTGGTTAAACACTGGCACAGGATGCCCAGAAAGGCGGTGGTTGCCCCATCCCTAGAAACATTCAAGGCCAAGGCTAGACAGGGCTTGGAGCCACCTGATCCAGTGGAATATGTCCCTTCTCGTGGCAGGGGGGTTGGACTAGATGATCCCTGCACTGTCCCTTTTCTTAAGCAACCCCAGTGATCATAGTGCAAATAAATCGTTCCCACTCTCCCCTCAAAGTCCACTTTTCAAGCTGGAACAGCAAGCAGAACCACTAATGTAACTTAAAAAAACTTAAAGTAACTTAAAAAAAACAACTTAGCAGCAACTAACCAGTGAATGACCAAGTGAAACCAAGAGAGCACTTGGCATCTGTAAGGAAGCACCACCATGGAGCCTGCAGCTGCAACAGCTGCAAAAATAGCACCACGAAGTTCGTACTTCACTCCTGGTTCAGCCGAGCTCCACAACGGCAGAGCTATAAACACCTAAAATTCATATGTCCTGGGAGGTAGTTCACAGCTTCGGGTCACGGAACGGAGGCACAGGACCCGCCCTGCTCTTCGGCTCCTTCGGATTTAAATAATCCCTTCCTGATGATCTCGGAGGAGATGTCGTCTGCGACCCCACGGAGGTCGAGCTGGTCCAGGGTCTCCAGCAGCACGTTCACAGAGGCTTTGGAACCTTCTCTCTCCAGCCACTTGTTGAGCATTTCATAGAAGGCGTCCTGTGACCGGTCAAAGGGCAGATCGTTCTCCAGCATATTGAGGCTTCGGCCGAATTTCTTCCAGTAGATGAATTTCATTCCAGCAAAGATGTAAAAAGTGCTTCGCAGCGCTGGAGGGGGAAGGGGAAAGCTCAGAGAACGGGGCAGAGCATGGGCAGCTGGGTCAGAAATCTCACCCCCTCTGCCCCCCCAGCACATCTGTTGGGCCCCAACACTTACCCTGAATGGGTTCTTTCCCTGTCTGTGGAACCAGATCCCTCCTGGGTCTCGGCCTGGGAGAAGGGGCAATCGGCAGCATCTCCTGGAATGGCAATGTCTATAGCACCCACCAAGCCCCGGCACAAACACTGTCCCTGAGCCCCCCAGTGCGGGGACTGGAGACCCCTCTCCCTCTCTCCAGGGGCTGTTGGGGCAGGACACCACCCTCCACCCCCAGGACATCATGGATTCCTAGCTCTGGGATGGCAGCAGGCCACGAGCAGGGAGAGCTGCCTCATGGTTCCCAGCCAGGGAGAGAAGAGCTGTTTGCTCAGCAGCATTAAACCCACAGAGGACTCTGGCAGTCGACTGCAACGAGCAGGATTTGCAGTCCTAAACCCAGAACAAGGACAGAAGACCCCTCTCCACCTCCCTGCAGATACTGTGGCCCAGCCCTGGACTCCCCCCCCAAGCTGATGAGCCTGGGGAAGGCAGAGGGAAGCATCAGAGCTTGGGCAGAGGTCACTCTGTACCTCCGACTCCTCGGCCCTGGGGAGCGGCGGATCCCGGGCGCGCTGCTCGTTGAGGTTGTTGTCCTGTGTCCCCACGTTCCCCCTCCCGCACCAGCTCAGCTTTTGCATCAGGTTGCTTGCATCCTGGGGCAGGAGAGAAGCACAAACCCTGTCGGGTGGTCCCAGCTCCCAGCAGCCCCGCAGGGATGCCGATGGCAGGATCCCCCCTGCCGTGGGCTCAAGGGCATGGCTCGCTTGCTTATCCCGAGCCTGCAGGAGCTCTGGCACAGCACAGCCCTCCCTTCACCTTGAGGTCTTCACTGGCACTCTGGGTGTGCCAGCACCTCTGCCAGGGGGAGGGCTCATGGCACTGCAAGGGGGCTGCAAGCACACAGGGCCCCTCCTGTGCTTGGCCCCTCTACTACATCCCTGCAGGGTGAGACTCACCCCCTGCTCCTCCAGCCTCCCCAGGAGCTGCAGGCCAAGTGGGGAGCAGAGGGCATGGGGGACCTCACCCCAGCCCCACAAACAGAGCCACCACCCCGCTGCCATCCCAGCAGCTCACCTTCAAACTGTAGGACGTCAGGTTTCTCCTCTTCCCTGGAAGATGGAAACAGTGCTGTGATCCCTCTTTGCCCAGGCAGGTCCCTCTTCCCACCCAGCCCACGCCACTGCAGAGCCCCCAGCCCAGGCGAGTGCTCTGGGGGTCCCCTGCACCCAGTGCTCACCTGGGGAACAGCAGCAGTACTTACAGATGAGGAGCACAAGCACGAACAGGAACAGGATCACCACCGGGATGATAATCCAGAGGTCTAAAGCACAAAAACCAGGGGTGTGGGAGCTGTTCCCGCTCCCCTCGGCAGCAGCTCCCACCTCCATCCCTCAGCCCACCTTCCCTCCCCACTCACAGTTGAAGCCGGTGCCCTGGGCAGGACCACACTGGAGATCACTGTAAGGAGTGCAGGGAGACAGCACCACCTGGCCCTCGGGACACCTGGGAAGGGGGGAGACAGGGCAGGCTCAGCAGCTGGAGCCGAGCTGCCGGCACAGACCCCCCCATGACCCCCAACTCACCGGGTCTGGCACTTGTGGCACATCTCGCAGGGGAGCTTCGGGTCGCAGAAGGTGCCCTCCTTGCAGGCACACTCCGTGTTCCTGGTGGCCTGGCAGGGACTCAGCTCCACCTGATCTGTGGGCGACAGCAGACAGGGCTCTGTGCCTGCTCCTCCCCGACAATGACCCCGAGCGCGTCCCAAGCCCCAGGAAGACCAAGTCAGTCCCTGCTGCTGAGGTTTCAGCCTCGCCCTTTCCTGCCCCACTCCTGCCCACACCGAGGGAAAAGCAGTGCCTGGATCGAGCTCCACCAGCAGCCTCCAGTGCCACCTCATCCTCCTGGTCCTTGTGGAGGTCTCGTATCCAAGCTTGGCACAGGGGATGCTGCCCTGGACATAGAGGTAGGTCTGGCACGAGCTGTTACACCAGCTCCAGACCCAGCCTGCTCCCAGCTACCCTCTGGGGACACTGCAGGTGTCCATCAGCCAGCACTGCCCCGATCCCCACCGGCTCGTACCTTCCCTGCACTTCAGACATTCATGGCAGGAGTGGAAGGCGTTTGGGTAATCCATGAATTCCTCGGCCTTGCAGGGCAAACACGTGCTGGAGCCATTTTCTTCTTCACAGGACTTTGCAAGGTGGGTGCCTGCGAGAGGAAGGGCAGCTCTGAGCACACAGGACAGGGAGGACATGTCTGTGCAGAGAGGGGGGTGATTTGCCAGCCAAGAAAGCCAATGGCCTGGATCAAACCCAGTGTGACCAGCAGGAGCAGGGCAGGCAGGGATTGTCCCCCTGTGCTGGCACTGCTGGGGCACCTCGAGGGCTGTGCCCAGTTCTGGGCCTCTCATGGTGAGACACTGAGGGGCTGAAGCGTGTCCAGGGAAGGGGATGGAGCTGGGGAAGGGTCTGGAACAGCAGGAGCAGCTGAGGGAGCTGGGGGGGCTCAGCCTGGAGAAAAGGAGGCTCAGGGGGGACCTTCTGGCTCTGCAAGTCCCTGACAGGAGGGGGGAGCTGCCAGGGAACAAGGGACAGGAGGAGAGGGAACAGCCTCAGGCTGTGCCAGGGGAGGGTCAGGTTGGACATCAGGAGGAATTTCCTCATGGAAAGGGTTATTAAATGTTGGAATGGGCTGCCCAGGGAGGTGGTGGAGGTGTCCAAGGAAGGACTGGCCGTGGCACTCAGTGCTCTGGGCTGGGTGCCAAGGTAGGGATGGGGCACAGGTTGGATTTGATGGTCCAACCTGGACGATTCTGTGATCCTGGCACTGCACTGCCAGCGAAGTTCAGAGGCAAACGAGGAATCAACGAAAGGGAAATGTTCCAGTAATGAGTTCTTAGATCCATGAGAGTGGAGCAGGGGAGAGCTGCCCCTCACAAAAAGCAAGGCCCTGCTGGCTCTGCCAACAGGAACACGGCGAGGCTGCACACGGGGGGATCACTGAGACCATCCTACCTGCGGGACACTGCTGGCAGCGGAGACCTTTCTCTGGCACGTAGTACAACTCTGTCCCTCCCCCACTTGGGTCCAAGGGATCCAAATCATCCCTTCTACTCAGTGCTGCTGCATCAGTTCCAAAAGCAGCTCTCTGTCAAAAAATACAGAACAACCTGGGTTAGAAACTACCCCAAGTCCACGGGGCAGGGGAAGGAAGAGAAGGGCCAGAGCTGCTGTGCCCTGTGCCCAGCTCAGAGCCACCGGGGCCAGTGACCAGATGTGCCCTCGATGCAGGCAAAGGGCACCTCCCCTGCACCAGGGGGGGTATTTCCTTGGCACAGCTTTTGCAGGGGGATTCCCCCGTGCCAGGTTATCAGCAGGGCAAAGCACTCCCTAACGCTTCCTTAGGATAACATCAGACCCCTTTTCCTTCCCCAATTTCTGAGCGCACCAACAGCCCCGAATTGAAGGGAAGGGCAGGGAGGAGGAACAGGTTTGTGGGAGGAAACCGGCCCCGTGTCAAGGCTGGTACGTGGCTCCTGTGCCCACAGGACTGCTCGAGGCTCCCAGGGGACAGCAGGGCCTCGTGTTTCTGCGTTACTATCCCTGTTATCCTGCTGTGGATCAGGAACACAACAGCCGCGTTTCCGCCGGCTCTGCCCGCCCTTTCTGCCGGCTCAGCTCTTCCTGCCCTGGCTGGGTCACTCCAGCTGCAGGAGGACAACCCCTGGCTGGAACAGCCCCTTGGCCCCTCTGCATTTGGGAGGCCTTTAGGGCACCCCAATGTTCCCAATGTGCCCTAATCCTAACCCAAGGGGGACGATGCCCTTGGCCTCTCAGCCAGCACAGAGCTGCTCCCCGGGTATCAGGGTGTATGAACCTGCCCCTGCTCCAGCCTTCACCCCTCCACCTCATAGGGAATGAGGCATCACAACAGTGACAGCCTGGAAGAGGCACTTTTCCCTTCCCCTCTCAAACAGGGAGCACAAAATCCGCCTCTCAAAGCAAATATTTCTCCCGTGAGTCAGAAGTTGCCTGGAAAGGCAGAACAATAGAGACGCCAGTCAGTCCTGTCCTGTCCTCTCACCAGCCCCCACAGCAACAGCTCAGCACAGCTCCGATCCCCCACCTCCACCCCGGACACTTCCCACCCTTGGATGAGGAGAAGGGTGCGTGCCAAGACCAGTCTCAGGTGGTCAGACCCACAAACAGCAGCCCTGAGACCAGCCTGGCCGTGGGGAGCACAGAGCTCCAGCAGCACCACGGCACAGAGCCCCCGAGCCCCAGCCAGCCTGGGAATCCCCTCCATGTCCAGCCTTGGGCTTGGAGGGATCAAATCCACATCCCTCCAACAGCTTCTGGCGCTGTGTCCTAGTCACAGGGGCCAGGAGCAGTTTATCATCACGTGGGTATAACCAAAAGTGTGTGTTCTACACCCTGTCTGTCATTTCTGATGGATGGGTAATAACTTGCAGCAGGGCCAGGGCACACCTGGTACCTCAGGCTACAAGCTGGGTGTTCAAAGAACTCTGCCAGGAGTGTTTCCTTGTCTTCACACTAATGACTCTGCTGTGATAACTCCCCTCCGGGGAGGCATCAGCACCTTCACCCCCAGCCTGAGGGGGCATCTCTGCCACACTGGGCTGGCACAACAGGCAGCTGCAACACCTGGATCACCGAAGATTCCAAAAATATCCTATGGCTCAAGGAGTTAAATCACCCACTGTGGATCTCCCTGCCCTGGGGGAGGTACTGGACATTCCCACCTGAACCTGGGCAGATATAATCTCGGGGTTTTGGGACTTCTGGCACCAGAAGTCCAACAGGATTGCCACTCTCGACCAGACTGTGATCCTTACTCCAACAGCACTGCGACCATCACCTGGACCAACAGGTTTTCCTTTCCTTTTTCTGTGCACCCAGGGGGGCCATGTGGTGCTCAGCACAGGGGTTGACAAGCCCTGTTGTGTTCTTGTCCCAGGGTGCTGGGTTATACATCTGTCTTTGGGGCTTAACACCAGTTTTTCTCTGTATCACTGTATTTATTGTAATCTTTTCAGTAAATTGTAACTCTCGACTTGTGATCTCTCTTGAGTTGGAGTCATTTCTCCCGCCGGTTTCCTTTTCAGCCAGCACACTCTGCTTCTCCTTCCTCCAGCTGGGAGGCTTTGCAAGTTTGTAAAGTGCTTTTTTTTACCCAGTTGAGGAGCTCCAGCCACGAGCAGCTCTCAGGGCTTCACCCACTCCGGTGGGTGGAAGTGAAGGGACAACCTGTCCCACTTCACGCTGTCTCCATGGGGAAAAAAAGCATCTTTTCTTCCCCCCTCGAACTCTGCTGGGCTGTGAGGGTGGTCACAGCAACAAGACAGTGTCATCTGCTGTCTGGAAAGCCCCTTTGGACACGGGATTTCATTGCTTTACATGTAAGAGCAACAAGTGCATGATAAGGTTATCAGCCCCCAGCACCTTGCTGCCCTGACCAACCCATCGGGGAGAAACCAGCCATGGGCAGGACATGACAGAATTCAGGAGAATTCAGTTTTCACCCACAGTAAACAACCCAAGAAAACCACGTTGCCTCGAGGCAGAGGAATCCTCAATATCCCATCCTTCTGGATGATCAAGCCTGGAGAAAAAGCACTGGGAAGCATCAAGCTTTGAACTTTCCCTTCTCCCACCCCTTGTTTTTCTCCTGAAGCGATCCCAGGAAGGAGCTGCACCCTGCAGCAGAGGAGAGACCCCCCGGCTGAACTCCTGACCATCACTGAACATTCACAAAGCATTAACACACAACCCCTGACAGCAGCAAGAGAGGCCCAGGGACAAAAGAGGTGCCAGACACAAGACAGGCCTGGTCCAAGGGCACAGGTTTGAATGAATGAAGGCAGGGATTTCCCCCTGCACTTCCCGCAATGGAATGTGAGCTCCGGGGAACACACACGAGGTGATCCACTCGCTCATCCCTCCTGGACAGCCCGTGGCCAGGGTCCAGCATGATGCAACAGAGGCCACATGGCCACAGTGTCCTATGATCACCCCTCCCGACCAGCTCCCCTCCCCTTTTATTAAAAAAAAATGGGATAAAAAGTTAAAACCCCCAGACTATTCAGAGTGGGCCCTTAGCTGATGGGTTTAGTGAGGCCTGACTTTATGCGGCCAATCTGAATAAACTCTGATAAACAATACAGGGAAGGAACTGGATGATCAGCTGATTCTCTTTAAAAACCTGTTTCGGGCAGTGCTGCTGTCAGTGGGAATAATTCCAGGGCGGGAGCAGCTCCCACGTGCCCGCTGGGCTCCCTCCTTGCAGGGGGATTAAAACTCAGGGCAGGATCCCCCCTGACTCCAGGTGAGAACAGAGTTCAGGTATTTCAACAGCAGCAACGCCCAATCCATATATGGGGAAATCTGATATCCGCAAACGGGATTTTCCATCCTAAAAAACAGCAGTGCCGAGGGTTTGGACATCACTCGGCAAGTTGGAAGAGGCAGCATTCCTGCCCCGGGCAGCCCAGAGCCGCCTGCAGCCGATGAGGAAAACCATCCCGGAATCCCGAGAGCGAACGGCAGACAAGGCTCGGGAGCGCAGCGGTGGAAATCCCCTCTCCTCCCGCTCGGGCAGCCAGCGGTCAAGCCTCCCGCCACCCGGAGCCCACGTGCCCTCCGTGCCCGCTGCCCCGCACGGCTGAAACCACCCTTCTCGTTTCCCCTCCACGCTGCTGCTTCCCCCGCGCCCCCCCGGCCTCGGCCCCGCACCTCCCCTGTGCCCCCTGAACCCGCTCGGGTGACCCCCCCCGGCCCTGCTCCCCTCCTCCGGCCCTGCCCTACCCACGTGAAGCCCCCTGACCCTCCCACCTGCCCAGGTGAGCCCCCCCCGGGCACATCGCCTCGGCCACCCCCCTCTCCCCCCAGCCCCCAGGACCAGGTGAGCCCCCACATCCCCCCCGTTTTCCCCGTAGCCCCCAGCCCAGGTGAGCCCCCCCTGTGCTCCCGCCATGGCCCCTGGGGCAGATTAGCCCCCCCATAGCCCCAACTTCTCCCCAACTCACAGGAGCCGCTACCCCCCGACCCTCCCTCCCCGCACAGTCGCTGCTAAAGAGACCCCTTCCCATATCCGCTGCTCCCCCTCGGGTAAACCCGCACCCTCCCGCTCCCCCCTATTCACACAGTCCCCCCCCCGCTCGGCTAAACCCTCACCCCAGCCCAGGGCAGCCCCCAAACACTTTTCTCCCCCCTCTTTCCCCTCGCTGGACCCCGGCCCAGCCCGGCGCTCCGTGCCCCTCGACGGCGCGGCAAGTCCGGGCATGTCACCACAGCACCGGGCAGCCCCGACGGGGTCCGGCACCCCCCTAACCCCCTCTCCGGGGGATCCCCACGCCCGATCCCCGTCCCCACGTACCGCGAGGAGCAGCAGGAGGAAGAGGCAGAGCCGTCGGGGTGGGCAGAACATCGTGCGCGGTGGGAGCGGAGCGGGATGGATGGGCACGGAGCGGGCACGGAGAGGGCACGGAGCGGGCACGGAACGGGACAGGCTCGGAATAGGCTCAGGAGCGGCTCAGCCAGGCCAGGACGGGGCAACCTCCTCCAACCGCGGTGAGTCAGAGAATCGATGAAACGCGGCCGGGGCAGAGCTTATAAAAACTCGGGGAGGGACGGGGGCGGAGGAGGAGGAAGCGAGTTGCGAGACACTCCCAGCACAGGTTCGCCGGCGAAACCTCCTCGTGACCGTGTCGCGACCGAGTAAACCACAAGCAGGGGACCAGGCTTTGTCAGAAGTCTCTTTCTCAAAACTTTTGGTTTTTTACCGCACTTTATTTTCGCGGTTCGTTCTCTTCAAAATCAGCTTCAAAAATCCTGGTTTAGGTAGGAGCCCTCAGGAACGGTTTTCCCAGGGGTGCTCTGGCTTCTCCATCTTGCATTTTTTCCCCATTACTCAGCATCCTAGAGGGAGCAAAGCCACAATCTCTTACGATCTTCCGGCGGCTCAGGGTGCCAAAACAGGGGAAAGTGGTAAAACCTTTGGACTTTCTGCTGCCACACCAACAACTCGGCTGCTGCACGTTATCGGGGCAGTATGTGAGGGAAAGGATTCCAATGGAAGTCTGATTTTACTGGGATGGTGGAGATGTGCTGGGATGGCTGCTCTGAGTGTTGGAATGGAAGGACACGAGGGCTTCAGGAAGGACTGGCACGGGGGACTTTAGAGCCCCTTCCAGTGCCTGAAGGGGCTCTGAGAGAGCTGGAGAGGGACCTGGGACAAGGGATGGAGTGACAGGACAAGGGGAAGTGGCTTCCCACTACCTGAGGGCAGGGTTGGATGGGACATTGGGAAGGAATTCTTTCCTGTGAGGGTGGTTAAACACTGGCACAGGTTGCCCAGAGAAGCTGTGGCTGCCTCATCCCTGGAAGTGTCCAAGGCCAGGTTGGACAGGGCTTGAAGCAACCTGGGCTAGTGGAAGGTGTCCCTGCCCATGGCAGGGGATGGAACTGGATGAGCTTTAAGGTCCTTTCCAACCCAAACCTTTCTGTGATTCTATAGTCCGAAGTGGATTTAACATTCTCTTGAAATGGGGAGAACTTTTCTTTTTCCTCTGCCTCCATGTGAATGATGTGAAGTGACTTGGTGACACAAAGCCAGTGTGGATTAAAGTAAAGCTTTTATTTGGTTTAAACTTGGGGGCAGATTTTTCAGGAGTGGGCTCCTGTGTAGTTCCTGTGTTGTTCCACATCATTTAGGGGAAGTAGTAGTGTAGTGTGGTTCTGGTTTTCTTGGACTACTGTCCTATTTTTAAAGCACAGTAATTGCTTTTAGAAGTCACATACAAGTCACTCTGGCTCAAAATACATTGGGTCTTAAATTTTCACCTTCAGCATGCGGAACAAGATGAGCTTTCAGGTCTCTTCCAACCCAAACCATTCCAGGCTTGTGATTCCATGAAAAAAAAAAACACCAGCCGAGGCGGAGGAGTGGAGTCTTTGTTAATCTTTTCCTAGCCCTGAACTCCGAGCTAACTAATCCGGGTGTGCGTTCCCTGCCCCCCACCTTCCCCTGTGACTCACCCGTCACCAGGGGCTGCGCATAAATCACTTTTAGTGCCGCCGCTTTCCTAAGCAGCGCCCGAGGCAGAGGAATCAGCAGGTGAGAGCCTCAAAATGGGTGCCAGGACTGCAGGGAAAGTGCTGCTGAGCAGATCAAACGCTGCTCACCAGGGAAAGGGCGCAGCTATTTGCCAGTCTGGGTGTCACTGGGGCATCAGCGGCAGCCAGGGAGAAAGGCAGAGAGGCTCCTCAGATCCAACAGGGTCACTAGGGTTGGAGTTAATCCACTCAAGGCGTGAATATTTGGGAAGCACTTTCCCTTTGGTGACCATGAGGCAATGGACACCCGGTTCTCTCCTTGCAGAGAGAATTCTTGAGCTCGTCTATGGCGCTAACGAAGATAACGAAGCTGAAGTGTGATTTCAAGGAGAAGAATTCCCGCCTTTCTCCTGGGTGGGTGCTTCTATTACAAGCCCCAAAAGTATGCAGGGCCTTTTGTTAAACCAAAACCATGTGTCCCGTGCTCTGGATACCAGTGACTCCAGCTGAGTCATTTGGGTCCTCAGAGAACAGCTAATTTCTCAGTTAGGGCAGAACTAGAACTAGACTTAGTTCTAGGACTAGGGCTAAATGCTAGTCCGCTGCATTTGCATATGCAAATGGGACGAGGAAGGAGCCTGTTTGTCCTTTCTCTGAAAAATCAACCTGATGCTCTCAAGGGAAGTGCCAGTGCACAAATTCAGGTGGGAAGAGGCTCTGTGGGGCGAGGGGGACACGGGAACGGGGTATCCCAGTTGGCCCCACAGTTTATACTGGTCCCTCAGCCACATCAGCGGGAGGTCAACCCTCAGCATCCAGACCCGGAGGGCTCACCCTCCTGCCGCTCCGAACACTTGCTAGGAAGCCGCAGTGTTTTCTTCCTCCCCCTCAATCTCCCCATTAACAGAATTGCCCTGAGTTATCTGCCCCGATAAACCACAGAGATAACATTTTTAGGGAGCTCCAAACAAAGGCGGCTCTGTGTCCAGCCCGTGGGGATTTAAGCTCCGGAGCAAGGTCGGGATGCTTCTCTCCCACTCCTCGAGGGGTAGGACACCCCGGGCAGACGCGTCATTGCTCTCCAAGCAAGAATTTCCATCCCAGCAGTGCCAGGGCTTCCATTTAAGGCAGATTTTGGGGCAGGCTCCGGTCACGGGCGAGAAAGGGGTGCTCGTTTATCGCCCAAGGACAGACCTCCCAGCAGCTCCCCGTCCTTATCACCCGCAGCCCGCTCATCCCACAGCTCCCTCCGGAGCAGGAGTGCCCCAGGAGGCTGCAGCGCAGCACAGGCACCGGGGGGAAATCCAGCACGTCAGGGAGAAGAAGGGACCCACCGTGATTTTGGGGATACGAAAATCCCTCCCTTAGCTCGCTCGGCTCTGTTGCGAGTGGAAAATAAACCGAAGCGTGAGGGTTGGAGCAGGAGCTTGGCTGGCCTCCAGCTCCCTGGCCGCGGGGAGAAGGGAGATCGGAGCCCAAGCTGCCCGCAGAGGACGGTGCAATAAACGGCTGGTGGCTGGGGAAGTTCGGTTTTATCGACCACAGCCGGTGGGGAACTCAACGCGAGCGTTTCCTGCGGCACGTGCTGGACGGTTCAGACCCCTGAAATACCCGTGTCCTGTCTGACACAGCATCTGTTTGCTCCTCACCCGTCCTTACTGGAGACTGGGGGGGCGAGGGAGGCTCTAATCTCCCCTCCCAGAGCATCTCCCGTGTAACTGTGACCCTCAGCACACCCCGGGGAGGTGACGGGGTACGTGACTGTTTATGTTTTATTTCTGAACAACAACAGTCGGTTTTTTACCTTCGGGTTTTTTTTTTTTTGTTGCCTCTCGTCTGTTTTTGTGCCTGGCAGGGATCTGAGGCCGCACGATAATTTTGACCTTCACCCCTCCCACCCCCCCCACCCCCCCCTCCGGACAAATGAATAATTCGTCTCAGGAATTCTAAGTTCCTCTTTTAAACAGATGGGGGGAAAAAAGGTCTTGCAGGCTGTGAACTTCATGAGAACAGAGCTCAGCCCCACACTGCACTTGGGCAAGCCCGGGCAAACCTCTCTGCCCCTCCGTGCCTCGGTTTCCCCCCTCTGTGGTGAGGCTGCTCAGACTTCTGTCCTCACTCCCTTTGCCTGCCTTGTCTTCGGGGTTTGGGGGATGCTCAGGGCAAGCAGATGGATTTTCTCACCCTCTCCCCCTTCACTTTTCTTAGGGCAGCTTCCTTGTCTCTGAGAATGCAGAGGAAAGGGTTAAATCCTTCCCCTCCCCCTGGCACAAAGTAAAAATTAACAGTAAGTGCAGAGTCTCGGCTGAGATTTACCCCTTTCCCTTCCCTCCTCCTTTTCCTCCTCTTGAACCAGGACTTAAAAGGAGCTCTGGGATGGAGGAGAGGGCTGAGGGTGTTGCAGACTGAAAGCTGCAGCCCAGGCTCTGTATCCAAACCAAGGCACTGGCCAGCTTGGAAACTGGAGCAGAAACTGGAGCCCAAACCTCTGGCTCAGCAGGTCTGAGGGCTGAAATGATGGATAAAATCCAGCTTTTTGCTTAACTTTGGAGAGTCCCATCCCAGGTTTGAATATCCCTGTGGTGAGACTCCAGGAAGCTGCTGCTGTTCCATCTCCTCACACAGCTACAGAAGCAAATTAAAAATTGCCTTCTGGGAGTTAAACACTGAATTGGACACACTGAATCTTTCCCTCGAATTTCTCAAAGCTCATGGATACATTCTCCAGGCAATATGCATTTTAATTTCTATCTTGTATATCTTGTTTTTTTTCCTCGGCTGAATTTTCCAGTGTGTTGGTTTGGCTGGGATGGAGTTAATTTTGCTCACAGGGGTTTGAATCTGTGCTGTTAACACCGAGAGAAGTTTTTGGTGTTGCTGAGCAGGGCTGCACAACCTCGAGGCCTTTCCTGCTTTGAAAGACTTTGGAAGGACACAAGAAGCTGGGAGGGGACAGAGCTGGGACAGCTGATCCCAACTAATCCAAGGGACATTCCAGACCCTGCTCAGGAATATAAAGCTGGGGAAGAGTCATGGAATCCTGGAGTGGTTTGGGTTGGAGAGAATGTTAAACACCATCTTGTTCCACCCCCTATCACGGGCAGGGACACCTTCCACTATCCCAGGTTGCTCCAAGCTCTGTCCAACCTGGCCTTGGACACTTCCAGGGATGGGGCAGCCACAGCTTCTCTGGGCAACCTGTGCCAGGGCCTGCCCACCCTCCCAGGGAAGAATTTCTCCCCCATATCCCATCTATCCCTGCCCTCTGGCAGTGGGAAGACATTCCCCCTTGTCCTGGCACTCCAGGCCCTTGGAAACACTCCTGTAGCTCCTTCAGGTCCTGGAAGGAAGGCCACAGTTAAGTCACCCCAAAGCTTCTCTTCTCCAGGCTGAACAATCCCAACTCTCCCATCCTTCCCTCCCAGCAGAGCTGCTCCATCCCTCTGATCCCCTTGGTGCCTCCTCTGGACTCCCTCCAGCAGCTCCACATCCATCCTGTGCTGGGACCCCAAAGCTGGAGGCAGCTCTGCCGGTGGGGTCTCACCTTGAGGGGGCAGAGGGGAAGTGGGAACATTTGGAGTGATGGAATTTGCCTTCCCAACTCTGTGTGCTGGATCCCTGCTTTCCTAGGGGGTGGCTGAACACCTGCCCCGCCACGGGAAGCGGGGAAGGAATTCCTCGTTTTGCATTCCTCGCTTTTGTAACCCGTCTTTATCTCAACCCGAGATAAAAGTGAGTTCTCTCACTTCTCCTCTCCGAACCTTCCCCCATCCCGCTGTGGGGGAGTGAAGGAGCAGCTGTGTGGGGCTGAGCTGCCAGCTGGGATTCAGCCACTCCGGGGCGTTTCTCCTCCGGAGCAGAGCAGGAGATCAGATCATCCCTTGGCTCGTGTCACCCCCAGACATGTGATGCCCCCGCTCCAGCCGCCTCCGGTGCCGCGGGTCCAAGGCCAAATCTCTCAGGCGTGCAAACACAGCCCCGTGTGGCTCCTTTGAACAGGGCTCGTGATCCAGGGCCGCCGTTTCCCTTCCCGGAGCAGTGTTGGCTCGGCCGACAGCGGCCAAAACGTGCCCTGCTCAGGGCCGGGCTGGGTTTTGGCCAAAGCCATCCCGGGTGCTCGGGGATGAACGGCTTCCCAGGCACGAGACGACGTTATTTTGGGGCTGGAACTGGAAGGATTAATGTAAAATTTCAAAGCTTGGAAGAAGCTAAAAATAGGCTCGTGCCTGTGCTGAGTCATCCCCGATTCCCGTGGGATGGGTGGGTTGGAAGGGCTGCTCTGCCCTCCCTGCAGCCCCCGGGGCTGCCCAGGGGAGGGGACCGTCACTGGGGGTTTTTTGCACCTATTTCAGTGTCCTTTGCTTCCCAAGACACCGCGAATCTGATCAACTCTGATACAATACAGATAGATAATATATATTCAATATAATATATAATTAATATATTATATATAGGGAAAAACAATAATAATTACAATAATAATAAGAGCAAAAAACGCAATTATTATTATAATACTGTGACACTATATATATGTAGTCACAGTATTCTATAAGTATTATAGTTATAATATAGATATAGATATAGATAGGTAATAAAGAATTAATATATATGGGGAACAATACAAAGAATAATGACAATGATAATAACAAGAGCAACAGAAATGATTACTATACTACTGTGACTATATGTATGTATATATATATTTATATAAATATATTTATATATATATACATATATATGTATATAATATATATATATATATGGGGCTGCTTGGGAATATATATATATATAAAAATATATTGCCAAGCAGTCCCAACCGCAGTCCCCATCCTGCAGAACTTCCCCAAACCCCGCGGTGACATTACACATGACGTCACGCATGACGTCACTCTCTGCCCTCCCCGGGGGGATTTTTGGGCCTCTCCTGCCCGGGCCGTACCACCGCTCCCTTTGGGAGGGGGTGCCGCGCGGGCCGTACCAAGTCCCGCCGGAGGGGTGGCGCTGTCCCCGCGCAGGCGCCGTGCGCGGCTCCCCTGAGGCGGGCGGGCGGCCGGGCCGGGCGGAGGCCGCGGCCGGAGCCGGGGGCTCGCGTAGATGTGCAGCCCGGGGGGGGCCCCCCCTGGGCCCGCCCCGGCCGGCGACCTGCCCCCGGAGTGGGACAGCGACGACGAGCGCATGGCCTTCCTGTTCTCGGCCTTCAAGCAGAGCCGCGAGGTGAACAGCACCGAGTGGGACAGCAAGATGGCCTTCTGGGTCGGGCTGGTGCTGGCCCGCGGCCGCAGGAGGGGCGCGGTGAGGACCTGCCTCCGGGAGCTGCAGAACGGCTTCGAGCGGCGGGGCAGCGTCCCGCTGGGGCTGGGCACCGTCCTCAGGGAGCTGCTCAGGTAAAGGGGGGCCGGCGGGGAAAGGGGGGGCGTAGGGAGAGATGGATGCGGGTAGGGAGAGATCCCTGTGCCAGCGTGGGTGTCGGGAATTCTGCCCTGCGAGGCGCTGGCACAGGTTGCCCAGAGAAGCTGTGACTGCCCCTGGATCCCTGGAACTGCCCAAGGCCAGGTTGGAGCAACCTGGTCTAGTGGAAGGTGTCCCTGCCCATGGCAGGGGGTGGAATGAGATGATCTTTAAGGTCCCTTCCAACCCAAGCCATTCCTGGATTCCATGATTCCATGGCACACGGGACAAGGCTGCTCCTGCCTGGATCTGGGGGACGCAGGGACAAAGATGAGAAGCCCCAGAACAGAGGGCACGGGGTGGGACTGGCTGATCTTTCAGCTCCCTTCCCACCCAAACCATTCCAGGGTTCTGTGAACAGGGAGTCAGGGGAATTTGCGAGGCGAAGCTTGGCAGGGAGTCAGAGGAGCTCACCCTGCTGTTGTGGTGCCCCAGCTGCCCGTGGCACTGGGGATGTGACAAACTGGTGTTTGCATCCAGGTGTTTCGTGTGGTGACATTAGAGCCAGGGAGCGATGGCTTGAAGAGATTTCAGAACAGCAGCAGCTCTGTCTGTGATATCAAAATCACTAGATCTGAGAACTGCAGTTTAACACAGAATTGAAGTATCCTGGAATTACCAGTTACCCCTTCCAAAAACTGGCCCTCACCATCGATTTCCTTGTGTGGTGCTTCGTTGGTTTCGAGTCAGGAAACTGGGAGAAACTCGCGAAACTGGGAAAACAGTAAACAGAAAAAACCTGGAAATATAGTAAACAAAACATCCTTTGGGTCCAGAGGAAGCCTGGGAGGAGTGGAGACCCCCATGTCCTTCTATGCCCTGCAAGGAGATCTCAAACTTCAGCTGGATCTGGGGCTGGGGATGTACAGGATGTCCGAGGTTTGGACTGCCTGTGTTCAGTTCCACGTGAATTATCTTTTCCCTAGACGTGGGAAGCTCCAGAGGGAGTCAGACTTCATGGCCAGTGTAGACAGCAGCTGGATCTCCTGGGGTGTGGGAGTTTTCATCCTGAAGCCCCTCAAGTGGACTCTCTCCAGCGTCCTGGGGGACAGCAAAATCCCTGAGGAAGAGGAGGTTCTGATTTACGTGGAGCTGCTTCAGGTGAGTGTTGTTGAGAGCATTCCCGAGGTTATGCATCTCCAGGAAAACCAGGAGTCATTTCATGTGCTGGGAAGGAGTTGGGTAGAGCTTCATTTGTGCCCCTGAGGTGTTGAAAAGCCTGGAGAGAGATGGATGGAGTAATTTGGGGATAAGTAATTTAGATCTATAGATGCTGTTTCAAACTAACATAATAAAGATGATCCAAAAGCTGGACCCCTCTGGTCTGGAGCCAGGCTGGGAGAGCAGGGGGCGTTCACCTGGAGAAGGGAAAGCTCCAGGGAGACCTGAGAGCCCCTTCCAGGGCCTAAAGGGGCTCCAAGAGCTGAAGAGGGACTTGGGACAAGGGATGGAGGGACAGGACACAGGGAATGGCTTCCCACTGCCAGAGGGTTAGATGGGATATCGGGAAGGAGTTCTTGGCTGTGAGGGTGGGGAGGGGCTGGGATGGAATTCCCAGAGGAGCTGTGGCTGCTTCATCCCTGGAAATGTCCAAGGCCAGCTTGGAGCAACCTGGACTAGTGGAAAGTGTCCCTGCCCGTGGCAGGGGGTGGCACTGGATGATCTTTAATGTCCCTCTAACCCCAACCATTCCATGGTTCTGTGATAGTGAGTTTTCACTGACTTCCAAGAACAGGGGAGGGGCAGAATTCCCTGTTTGTCTAGGAAGGCCAGCACTGTGCTGTGAGCCTGCTGTAAATCCCAGGTTGGAGTTCACTCCTGTGCAGGACACAAGAGGAGCTTGACATCCATCTGCTTTGGGCAGGGACAGGTGATGGGGCTGTTGCTGCCTGTCAGTCCCGTGTCCCCTCCAGCCCCACTCCCGGGGCATTTCCCTGCTCTGTCACTCAGAGCCTGTGCTTTCAGCTTGCCTTTCCCATGGGATTAGAACCCTTGGATCCTGTCACAGCCCCTTTTCTCTCTGTGTTACTAAAAATGAACCCCAAGACTTGCTGCTGTTGCAAGTGGTGTCTAAATTCCTGTGCCCGGCAGAAATGCAGGAAATCTTTAAAGGGAATAATTTTAATTTAGTTTAAGTAGGGGAGGGATTTCCAGGAAGTGCAGGTGGAGCCAACTTCTTGCCTGTGTGGTCCCTGTGCTATTCCACAGCGTTTCAGGGGATGTAAATGGTGTAGTTTTGGCTTCCATGGCCAACTGGATTATTTTCAAAGTGCTGCCGTTGCCTTGGGAAGTTTCACACGGTTCATTCTGAAAGTCACCGTGGCCCAAAGGAGGAACTGTCCCAAGTTTTCACCTCCAGTGTGTGTGGGACGAGTGGGAGGAGCAGTGTGAGCTGTATCCCTGTTGTCCTTGCAGGAGAAAGCAGAGGAAGTTTATCGCCTCTATCAGAACTCTGCGCTCTCCTCTCACCCCGTCGTCGCCCTCTCCGAGCTCCAGTCCCTCTGTGCCAGTGTGTGCCCAGATGAAAGGACCTTCTACTTGCTGCTGCTCCAGCTGCAGAAGGAGAAGAGGGTCACGATCCTGGAACAGAATGGAGAGAAGGTACAGGGTCAAGGTGACTGCTTTTGGGTGGTATAACCCCTGTCTTGCATTCCATCTGCCTGGCAAGAAAACTTTATTGGTGGAACAAGGGTGTTCTGTGTCTGGAAGGGGTAAATTCCTTGTTCTCCAGCACTGTAAGGGGGTTGTAGGTGAGGGGAAATCCTCATTCTTGTGTGACAGGTTCTTCCAACGTTTTTAACATTTCTTTTTTTTAATTTAAGAGCTGAAAAATTGTTAGGTCTGATCTGCTGGTTGATTGTTCCCAGTTATCCAAAGTAAAATCAATCCGTGCCACTGGAGTCAGCCTGGAATTCCATTCTATGTGAAGAGGTTCTTCTGTCAGTACCTAGATACAGGCACTCTCAACTCTGAGACTGCATGTTTTCCTGCAGTGTCCTGAAGCCCTTGGAAGTGTGACATTCCCATCCACTTCCAGGACAGCTTTAAATCCTCAGGGTGTCCCGCTGAGGCTTTTTGCTTTCACGCTGATGCTCCTCGATCCTGCCTGGTTTAACGTCAGATCCCGTGCTGACTGGGGCATCCTCATCACTCCATAACAAGGCTTAAACTGGGAGTGTGAGAGCATCTTTTCCTCGCTTCCAAGTGAAGGTATTTTGGGAGCTCAAGCCTGTGGCTCTCTTGGCAGATCGTGAAGTTTGCCCGAGGTCTCCACGCCAAGGTGTCCCCGATGAACGACGTGGACATCGGGGTGTACCAGCTGATGCAGAGTGAGCAGCTGCTGTCACAGAAGGTGGAGTCCCTTTCCCAGGAAGCAGAGAAGTAATTTTGGGGAAGGGTGGTGGGGAACAACGTCTGTGTGATGTAGAACTTTGTGGCATAATTAGAAGCTGCTTGCTCTGTGTTGTTCTTTTCCTGTTTGTGTCCCAGCCTTGTGGTAGGGCAGCTTTCCCAGTCTTTGTTCCCTATCCCCATGAAAACAAGGTGCAGTGAATGGGTGTGAGGAATGTTTGCAAAGATTTGGAATGCGTTCAAGGGCTCCTGCTGGGAATCAGCAACGATTTAAGGGTGGTTGTATCCCAAATGCACCTCACTGGTCACCCCAGGATCAGAGCAAGGCACAGAGGGTGGTTTCTGCTTTGTAAAATCACTGCTGGCAAAGGAATGAGTTTCTTTTCCTTCTTGAATCTTCCAGGTGTAAAGAGGATGCCCGGAGTGCTTGTAGAGCTGGGAAAAAGCAATTGGTGAGTGGAAGTGCAAGGGAATTGTCCTTGGAGCTGGTCCATAACTGCAGATTATGACCAGGGTTAGACACTGTGGGTTGAAGGGGTGGTTCTGAAGCCTCCTTAAGGTGAAGAAAAGGATATTTTTATCCAGAGTGAAGGGAAATGGAGATAACTCTTCAAAGCAGCTGTTGTGTGTGTGCCTCAGGGATTGCTGGCTTTTTTATGACACTTTCACTCAGTATCCTGAGTTGAAAGGGACCCACTTAGATCATAAAAGTCCAACTCCTCACCCTTTTCTTCTTTAATATTTTTTTATTTGGCAGTTGATTTTTTTTTTTTTTCCTTCACAGACCACGGTGATTTCTGAACAAAATTTGCACCAACACTACTACATATTTCACAATCTTCCTCTGCTTTTTTCTGTATAATGCAACATGCTAATTTTTTTTTTAATCAACACGAAAGCCCCCAGCGATTTGCTTTTTTTTGAAGGGAACGTCAGCCACCAGGAATCTGAGCAGTTGCAGGTGCCAACTGGCATATTTTTCTATGGCCTGGACCTTTCCAAAGTAGGAATCCAAGACTTCTCTGCTTCTGAGCAGTGATCCAGGGATACCTGAGTGAACCACTGGAGGACACTTGTTTGTCTCTCATCTTTTAGAGCTTCCTCCAAGTTTCCTCATGGTGGGAATAAACTCAGGGAGTGGAAGACTCTTCATATTTGTGCATAAACGTGTCCTAACAGCTCCACCTGTGCTTGGTTTGTGACCCAAGCTGTGTCTCTCCCCCCAGGCTCTGAGGTGCCTGAAGTCCAAGCGGAGGACGGAGCGGCGCATCGAGGAGCTGCATTCCAAGCTGGATGCAGTGCAGGGAATCCTGGATCGGATTTACGCCTCCCAGACCGACCAGATGGTACTGGGGTCCTTTTATCTTGTGCTTCTCACTTCAGCCCCTCTCCTCTCACTCCTGGTGCTTTAGCTGCCTGGCAGAGCCTGGGTCTGAGGGGTGGGACTTTATTCCTGGAGTATCCCCCTGATTAAACCCACTCCTGGCTCCATTCTCTGCTTCAGTGATCTCTGAGGGGTGGGACTTTATTCCTGGAGTATCCCCCTGATTAAACCCACTCCTGGCTCCATTCTCTGCTTCAGTGATCTCTGAGGGTTGGAACTTTATTCCTGGTAAACCCTCTCCTGGCTCCGTTCTCTGCTTTGATGTTTCTTGGAGGGTCTGGGGAGAAGCTTCTTGTTTGTTCTTTGTCAGCAACGTGCATCTCTTTCTCTTCTGTATTTTCATTTATAGGTGTTTAATGCCTACCAGGCTGGGGTGGGAGCTCTGAAGCTGTCCATGAAGGATGTGACTGTGGAGAGGGCAGAGAACCTGGTGGATCAGATCCAAGAGGTACTGGAACAAACCTGTGAATTAATTAAACCCAAATATTTATGCTGAGGCTCCTGGTGCAGTGTAGTTTCTTTTCTTTATGTCACCAAAGCAAACTGACTTAATTTTGATCTCAAAGCTCAGCAAGAAGAGATTTGCAGAGAACTGTGGGTTTGATTTTATGTATTTACATTAAATCTGTGCATTTCTTGTGGTTTTTTTTTGCTCAGCAGTATTGGGCAAGCACACAGCTTTCCTAGAAAATGTTCAGGTGTGTTTAAAAAAGAAATATAAGTCAAACCCTTGGAAGCTGGAATGCAACTACAGGCATAAAACAGCTGCCTGACCCATCCTCTTGTGCAGTTCAGTGAGGGAAAGGAGAGGAGTTAATTCTGAGTGAATTAAAATGAATCTGTCTGCATAAGCTGGTGTGAAAAACAGCAAAGGATTAATTTTTGGTTTTTAGCAGTGTCAGCTCAAATTGTGACTTCAGCTCACGAGCTGAGGGGCTGCAAAGTGTCGTAGCTGAGCTGTGTTGGACTTTAGCTTCCTCATTTTGTAGCTAATATAATAATAAATATTATATTAATATATGTAACATATTATTATATATAATATTGTAGCTAAGCTGCAATATAAACTCATTATTTATGTGAAAAAGCTCAAATGAGAGGTTTGTTTTTTTTTTTTTTTTACTTTGACATTGTGATTCAGGTTTGATCCTCAAATCTCCCACTTGGCCATGTAGCACTTTATTAAATAATCTTCCTGTTATTCCTTTTGCCAGTGAAAAACCAGTCATGATGGAAGTGTTCTGCTGCTTTTAAGTCAACTTTTGAATTCTTTTTGCTATTTCTGCTTTTGACAAAGGCAGAGGTTTATATTCTACATCCAACTCTGTGTGTTTTTCCTCAGCTTTGTGACACTCAAGATGAAGTAGCCCAGACTCTGGCTGGAGTGGGGATCAATGGCCTGGGTATGTCTTGGGGTTCTTATCCTTTGCTCCTCCCTTCCCTGCTGTCCTCCTTTCCCTGCAAACTGGGATTTGGGCCTCTCCAAACCCTTGTAGGCTCCAGTTGCTGCTGGATCTCAGCTCTGAGTTGTGTAATGTTGATTTAACTCTATTTTTAGAGCGGCTGCTGCTTTGTTTTTGAAGTGAGGAGCTTTTTCCTCTGGCCTGGGTGTTGCTGCAGCTTGTTTGTCTCTGCTGAGATGTGCCAACACTCCTTGGCCTCAGTGCAGAGGTTTTTCTGATGGGAGAAATCCTTTTCCCTGAAATCAGCCCTGGATTTTTCAGACCTTTAGAGGAAGCACAGGAAGTTCCTCACGAGTAGCAAGGGCTGGGAGCAATAATACCTGGGTTTCACTCGGATTTCCACCTGTGCTGGGTTAATTCTTCTTGGAACTGAGTGTTTTCTTTCACCAGCAGAGATGGACACCGAGGAACTGGAGAAGGAGCTGGACAGTCTCCTCCAGGACTCGACCAAGGAGCCTGTGGATCTGCCTCCTGTTCCCCAGAAGGTGCTGAATCCCCCCATTTCTGATGCTGAGCTGGAAGCTGAGCTGGAGAAGCTGACAGTCTGTGATGGAGGTAGGGATGGCAGCAGGCCCTGGGGGGACCTGGGGCAGCCTTGCAGAGCAGAAGATGTTTAGCAGAACTAAAGTCTGAGTCTTAAAAGAACTGCCCTCTGCTAGGAATTCTGCCTGGCCTCTGCCATGGGCTGCAGGGAAAAGGAAAAGGCTCTGGGAGGGAGCTGCTGCTTGGATTGATTAATTTTTCATCCTCATTTAACAAAGGCAGGCAGTGTTCAAAGGGATAAATTAGATAAATTGTCAGGCAATGGGCATCTTCTCTGTTCTACAGTGCTGGCTGTGTCTTATGTGGTACAGGTTTGAGGTCTGCTTGAATTTATTTATTTCTTGATAAGTAAATAAACAATAAGATTGATAAATAAATAATATTATTTATTGATGGTCTTTTTGGGTCCCTTCCAACTCAGGATATTCCATAATTTAGTAGCAGTGAGTGACCAGAGCTTGTGGGCTCGAACTGCTTGCTGCACTTTCCCTGGATCTGTCTGGCACAGGGGTAAATAGGCTTCCATTTTCAATTCCTTTCAGGAATCTCTTGATGAACAATTACACAGGACTGTCCATGTAGTTTTCTTCCTATTTGGGCAGCTGATAATCCCAGTTTTCAGAGAATCCCTTGTCAAACATGTTTCCAAGAGAATGCAGAGAGTGAAGTGCTGAGACACTCTGGAATTTTACTGGTTGGTTGTGGATGTGGTTGATAAAACCTGACCCCTTTCTGTTGCAATTTTCTTTACAGATTTGGCACAAAAGGCTGCAGCTGCTTCCTCTGAACCCAAAACAGCTCTGGGACTGAATCTCTGAAGACCCAACAGAATCCTGTTGCTGCTGTTTGGGAAGTTGTCTTAAGGTTCCTTAACTCATGACTAGAACTTCTAAGGAGAGGAGTCACTCTCTCTTCCTCTCCATGGATATCACTTTGCTCAGCAACAGGATCTCCTGCCATGACAATCCACTCTGGAACTGGCCCCAGCTGGTGTTTGTCATCTCTGTGCCAACATCTGCACTGGTCTCAACCTGACTGGTGACCCCAAGACATCCAGTCTTCCCTCCTGGGAATACAATTCCAGTGAAGATAAACTCTTCTGTGTCCATAACAGTGCTCAGTTTTGGTTTGGTTTTGAGGTTTTTTTTTTTTTCTATTATTTTTTATTTTATTTATTTTATTTTTATTTCTCTTCCTTTGCTGTGGCTGATGTCGAGATCCTGAGTTGCAGCAGTGTTGCAGTTGCTCAACATTTGGCTGCTTTTGTGTGGTTGTTTCGAACACTTAGCACATAAATCCCGACCTTGACGTACCTGCAACAAGCTTAAAACACCCGGTGATAGTTCTCCCCCTCCCTGTGTGTATCTTTGCACGGTCGTGGACAACTAGACACTGTAACTGTTACGTTTGTAGGAGATTTGGCTGCTGCTCCTCCTACAGGGCAGCGATTGCAAGCACAAGACAAAAGAATTCCTCTTTCTGTAATGACATTAAGGCCTTAGAAGGGAGACCTGCAAAAGATTTCGGTGAAGGAGTTTCAGGCTCTGTCAAAGGCTGGGGGGTTGCTGTTAATCCAATTTTTCTGCTTGCTCTTACTTGAAATTCGAGCTGTTTGCCGATTTTTGTATCTCCCCTGTTAGCAAAACTCCTCGAGAGCTGCAGGGTGGTGTGCTGGGGGTTCCCCTGGAGTGATTTGGGGGTGAGGAGAAGGGATGCACTGTTCCCCCTCTGGGAGAGTGCAGCTTCACAGCCTTGCCTTTGCCTTCAGCCTTGCTCCTGCAATCCCCCGAGGTTCTGTGGTACCAGAAAGCCCCAACCCCAAACTCTCTGAATGTTTTTAATGCACAACCCCCCCCGAGCACACCAACTGCAGCTGGTTTGGGGGCTGCCTTTGCCCCCTCCTCTTTTGCAGGTCACTTTTTTATCCCTCGTGTGTGCACGTGGAAGAGCAGGAATCCTGATCCCTGAACAACTGAACTTCCAGGAGGGGAATGTGCTCTTCCCTGGGCTCTCTGCACAGCCTGTGTGTGTGGCAGGGGAGGGACTGGCTGCCTGCTGAAGGATAACCAGCCCTCCCCTCCCTGCACCTCCCCCTGACTCGAATGTATCCCCCTCAGCACTTCCACAAACTGCCTCTTGTCCCAGGCTCCGTTGGCTGAGCCCTGTGGATGGATGGCCTGGGGGAATGGGAACCAGGGCTGGAATTCCCACATCCCTTGAATTATTTATTGACCACCCAGCTTCAGCCCCAGAGGACAGGGAGGGAGGTTGCAGGTGTCCCCAGGGGGCTGCCTGGGCTGGGGCTCCACTGTCACTTTGTTCACGAGTGCAGGCTCTGCCAGGGAAGGCGTCCTGGATCCAGCTCACAGTTCACCCAGGCTGTACATGGAATTATGTAAAATGACTTGAAGCTCTGTATTCCTTTCCTTTGGAAGTAAACAGGAGAAAAACCTCTGTGTTTTCTGCCTACTTGTAAATAAAGGGGAGGGGAGGAACCATCCCTGTGCCCTCGGTGCTTTCCCTGTTCCAGCTGCTGCCCCTGTAAAACCTGGCTGCTGAAATCCCAGCCCATTCCTGGGCTGCTTTGCCAAAACCCAAACTGAACAACTGCTCTACCAGACTCTGATTTCCCTGAGTCCTTTCTCTGTGTTTAAAAAAGCCCACCAGTGTTTAATAATTGGTCTTGAGTAGCCTGTGCTGGTTTTTGGGCTGGACAGCCTTCATTTCTAGCACCATTTGGGAAAGACTTGCTGCTTTTTCTTACATTTCCACTTCTTTTTCCCCACTGTGCACCCCAAACCTGCAGTTTCAAGGCTCACACAGATCACAGTCCTTTGCCTAAACCACCCTGTTCTGACCATGGAGGAAACTGCTGTGCCAGGAAGTCAGTCCTCCTAATTAACCCCCTGGTTTTGGACCAAACAGTTCCCAAAGCTGATCCTGGGCCAGTTTTTACCTGTTCTAATTGGAATTAAGCAGCACAGACTGGGAGCCTGGGGCTGGTTTACCCTCTGCCTAAAGAAAATCAATCTAAATGGAGTAACCTGGTGTATAAACTCAAACCAAATTACTCCTCCTTCCCTCTGATGCCCCGATGCCTGAAGGAAGCTTTGAATTTCCAGGCTGTTAATCCCATTTCCTCTGGCTTTGACCCCAGCTGGCACGTTGGAGAGCTCCCATGGGTTTTTTTTGCAGGGCTCAGGCCTTGCTTCAAACCTGGATCTTTGCTTTTCAAATCCCTCATTTCTCCCCTGCTCTCAGGACTTGTCCCTCCTCTGCGAGTCCAGAGGGATTCCTGCAGGAATAACCACTCTCCTGGGATTCTGTGATGCATCTGCCTGTGCCAGCCATGCTGGAAGAGGCATTTTGGAGTTAAACCCCAGCAGCTGCTGCTTGATTTCAAGTGGCTGGTAATTTTCTTCCTTTGATGCAAAGTGGGATGTAATCAAGATGGCTGAATGGAGAATTTTAAGTGTATTTTGGTGAGACAGCGGGGAAAGGAAATCAAGGGCAGCGTCGTGCTGGGTGAGGAAATTAAATATAAAAACCTAGAGCTGAATTGCCACCAAACTGAAATATTATCAGATTGGAGTGCTGTTTAAAATAGTACTTAACTGGAGTCTTAGAAAAAAATAGCTGCTGAAAAAAAAGGGAATGTAGCAACTGTTTATTATAATATAAAGCACTGAACAGTTTCATCTGTGGAGAAGATTTGGTCCTGCAGGCAGAGGAGCTGTCTGTGAACACGAGCCTGTGTTTGTTTGCCTGTGACAGCAGAATTAACAGTGATTTCTGCATTAGGTGCACTCCAAGATGTGCAGGAATTGGGTGATAAATTGGATCCCTTCCCATCCCATCTTCCCCCACCAGCCCAGCTTCGGAATTCTGCTCCAGCCCAAGTTGTGTGCGAGGTCCTTTCTTAGATGGGCGGCCTCACGTTGTGCCAGGGGAGGTTTAGTTTGGATATTGGGAAAAAAACCATGGAAGGGGCTGTCCAGCCCTGGCACAGTGGCAGTGGTGGAGTCACCATGCCTGGAATTGTTAAAAAAGCATGGATGTGGCACTTGGGGACGTGGTTTAGTGCTGGCCTTGGCAGTGCTGAGTTCACAGTCGGACTTGATGGTCTTAAAGGTCTTTTCCAACCTTGACAGTGTTATGATTCTATATTTGGAAGCTCCTGAGGAGGAGGAGCTGCCTCGTGTCTCGAGGAATGATTTCCTGGAATGCCTCCTGGCTTCCCAGGTGCCACCTAAATGTGCCAGGAGCTCCCACCCCAAAGCTCTGCTGTGTGCCAGGTCACCTGCCATCGCTGCTCCGCCCTGTGACTTGTGGCTCCTCCCTTAGATCCCCAAAATGTCCGTGTCCAGTGCGGGGATTAGGAGGAAAATGCCCTTTGGGGCACAGAGGACAGTGTGGGTTAGTGCTCTGCCAGGGTCCTGGGCAGTCATGGAATCCTGGAATACCCTGAGCTGGGAGGGACCCCCAAGGATCATTGATCCAACTCCAGCAATCCCACCCTGTCCCCGAGAGGATCATCCAAACACTCCTGGAGCTCCGGCAGCTTTGGAGCTTGGTCAGTGCCCAACCACCCCCTGGGGGAAGGACCTTTCCCTGAGCTCCAACCTGACCCTGCCCTGCCACAGCTCCGCGCTTTTCTGCTGGAGCCCTAGGGAGGGATTTCTCCCCAGAATTCCCGAGGGAAGGCGCTGATCCACGAGCCGGCTCCTGGTGCCATCTAGCCGCTCTCCCTGGGATCGGCCCTTGGCGGGCGCGGGCTGCAGACGGTGGAACTAATGAGGTTTAATTAAACAAAACCCCGGCGAGCCGATGCCGTGACGTGCTGGCAACGAGTGTCGCGGACACCCGAGCGCGGGGTTTGCTTTGGGGGCTGCGTCTTCCAGGGAATAATCGCGCCCTTGTTGGGAATCGCTCCCGGGCAGCTCCTGCTCCCTCCGGGCTCGTGCGAACGCCGGGTCGAGGGGTCAGGGAATGGAATCCCAGTGTCTGTGTGTGTGGTTTGGCTGCTGCTCCCTCCAGGAGCGGGGAAGGGGCAGGGAGAGGCCCAGGGCATGGATTGGGCACGGCCAGGCTCGGGGGGAATTAAGGAACGGGGAGGGAATTAATGCTGAGCTGGGTGTCCAGGGTCATCTGCAAACCTCGGGCTGCCCTTTCCACCTTGGCCAGGGCACCAGTGAGGCTCCTCTCAGCAGCAGGTCCCCGTTTAAGCAGCTGCCACAGAGGCAGCACTCGAGGGAACCCCTTGGGAAGGACATTTCTTGATCAAATGACATTTTTTGAAGGACATTTCTTGATCAAATGACATCTTTGAAGGACATTTCTTGATCAAATGAGCCCTTTTTCTGCAGAGTGGCTACAAAGTGCTGGATTCCAAGGCTAAACTGAGCCTTAGTAGGTCACACCTGGCTCCTAATCCTGTGGTTTTCCTCCTGAGGTAAGAGGGGAGAGTCTTGCAGAGCCTTTGGCTTGTGAGTCTGGGGTTCAGCTTTGTGGGGGAGGAGGAGCAGTGGTTTTAGGGGGGATTCCCTGCCCGTTCCTCCAGAGCATCCCCCAGCTCTGCAGCACCACAGCGATGGCACACCTTTGATGATCACACTTAATTAAAAGCTTACCCAGGTGGTGTTCAGCACCCTCAGGGGTCCCACACGTAACCTCCCCTGAATAAACTGAAACTTTGGTGTGACAGTTTCAGGAAAATGAAAACCAAACCCCAAAAAACACTTCCAGATTTGTACAAGATTTTGTCTGTGTAGTTTCCCCCCCTTTTTTTTTTCTTCTTTTTTTTCTTTTTTTTATTCCCCCCTGGAAGGAATTTTGCAGTGGAAAGCAGAGGCCAGTTTTTGCAGCACCTGCAGCTGGGCAGCTCAGGACAGGGAGGAGCTCAGGAAGGGATCAGGGCCATGTCTGAGCTGTGACTCAGTGCCTGTGCAGTGAATTTAGGTGCCTTTTATTCAGAGATCGCACCACATTTCTGTGCTGATTTGCACTGAAGACCCTCAAATCCCACTTGAATGTAATTTTTGCCCCTTCAATCCTCTGGTCTGATTCCCAAGCAACTCCCCCTGTCCACTGCGGGTTCTCTGGAGCTCGCAGGGGCAGAGACAGATCCCACCTGAGTGAAATCCAGAGGCGAGGAAGCACCAGAGGGAAGAGCAGCCGGGTCTGTGAGCAGGGAGGGTCCGTCTGCATGAGCAGAGAGAGCTCAGATTCCCTCTGGCTTCTGGCAGCAAGTCCCAGCCTGGCCACGGAAGGGCTGGGATTCTGCAGCAGGCACAGGATCACCAGGAGATGAAGAGGAGCTGAGAGGGAGGAAGGTTTGCAGCAAAGCCTTTCCAGCCCCCGGAGGTGAGTGCCAGCCCCCCTGGGAGCAGCAGGGAAAGGAGAGTGGGCTGGGAGGCAAGAGGGGAAAATCTGAACGCCACGCTGGCAGCAGGAGACCTGGGAAGGAGTGAGAGCTTCCAGCACTTCTCCTTGAGCTGGGTGTGAGAGCTGGAGTGCAGCTGGTGCTTCTGAGGTGTCTGTGGAGCAGTAAGAATGGGGTTTGGATACTGGTGGGGACTTGGAACAGCTGTGGAGCCTCTCCAGGGACTGGAAAAAAAGGTCCCCATGGATGGGATTTACTCCTCGGCGGGAGGAGATGGGCAGGACGTGACCAATGACACCAGCTGGGCAGAGGAAAGCAACTCCAAGCTGTCCTCCCGTGTGGTGACAGCAACCTTACTCCTCCTCCTCATCCTCTCCACGCTCCTGGGGAACACCCTGGTGTGCGTGGCCGTGGCCAAGTTCAGGCACCTGCGCTCCAAGGTCACCAATTCCTTCGTCGTCTCCCTGGCGGTGTCCGACCTGCTCGTGGCCGTGCTGGTGATGCCCTGGAGGGCTGCCACCGACGTGCTGGGCTTCTGGCCCTTCGGGGGGGCTTTCTGTGATGTGTGGGTGGCCTTTGACATCATGTGCTCCACGGCCTCCATCCTCAACCTGTGCATCATCAGCCTGGAGCGCTACTGGGCCATCTGCAGCCCCTTCCGCTACGAGAGGAGGATGACGCGGCGCGGGGCCTTCGTCATGATCGGGGGGGCCTGGCTGCTGTCCCTCCTCATCTCCTTCGTCCCTGTGCAGCTCCAGTGGCACAAGGACCGTGGGACATTAAAGCAGCCAGGTTTTAACGCCTCCGGGGAGGAGGAGAGCTGTGCTCCCAGGCTCAGCAGGCCCTACGCCATCTCCTCGTCCCTCATCAGCTTCTACATCCCCGTTGCCATCATGCTGGTGACCTACACCCGCATCTTCCGCATCGCCCGGCGCCAGATCCGCAGGATCTCCTCCCTGGAGAGGGCCCTGGGACACGCCCAGAGCTGCCACAGCCCTCGGGAAGCCTCCCCGAAGAGCTCCTTCAAGAAGGAGACCAAGGTCCTCAAGACCCTCTCTGTCATCATGGGCGT